TTCCTTCCTTCCTTCCTTCCTTCCTTCCTTCCTTCCTTCCTTCCTTCGTTCCTATCTCCTTCCTTCCTTCCTATCTCCTTCCTTTCTTCCTTCCCATCTCCTCCCTTCCTTCCTCCCTTCCCTCTCTCCCTCCCAGTGGTTAGAATGCAACCACAGTTTTATAGCGTTGGCTTGATCTTTGGATTTTTTAAACTTTTATTTTGCAATTTGCTCCATTAATTCTCTATAAAGATTGGTATGTAAATCTAATTGTGATAGACCTTCAGTCAGAAGGATTTGTCCCTTAAATACTGTATGGGCTCTCATCTTCACTCCCTGAGACGGGAACAATCTTGTGCTTATTATGATGACTTATAATAAACAAGACTGGAACAGTGTCTTCCAAACTGCTGTTCAGAGGCAACTGTGTGTCGTGACTGGAAGGTCATATCTATCTTCAGATGTGACCTTCTTTTGGGAAGACATGTCTTGGATTGATAGACAAGCCTGAACCTTTATAAAGCTTTTTCTAAAGTTCTCCTTTCTTTGGACCTCTCAGTTATTTCTCTTTTACCTCCTGGACTATGCTACTGGCAGCTTCCTCCCTGGATTGTATAACCGCATTCAACCAAGTCAGCCAAGAACAGATAATCCAATAATGGAAAATCATCATAGAATGAGCCGGTGACACAACTCTTTAACCATCAAAGTCTACAACAAGGGCAAAAAAGCCTGATCATTCAGGCAGACTCATTCCTGATTAAGGAGAGAGAATATGCTACTCTGACTTCATGGAGAAAGCATGCCTGCTTGGGAAGGAACCAAGTCTCTCTTTCTTCTCTCTCTCCCTCTCTCTCTCTCTCTCTTTCCCCCTTTGTCCAAACAGAGTCTGACCCTCCCGTTTCCCCTCCTCCCCCATTGCCCTGTTTTGCAGCCAGCAACTTGTGGCAGAAAGGAAGTTTGATCAATGGGAACTGTGCTTAGAGTTTAAATGACTATTTAAAAAAACCCCATGCCTCTTGCCTTCAGTAGAGGCGCTATTGTAAGCAACTTCGTTAATAAGGGTGATTCCAGTTCAGTTGTTTGGGAGCTCAGATGGAAGCAGATGCTCATCCAACAAGTTTGGCTTCTCTGTTTCCAACAAGGCCTGCTCGCTAACTCCTCCCTTGCAGCAGCTGCAGCAAAAATAAAAAATAAAAATTGAGGGAGGAGGGAAATTGCTTTACTCCATTTTAATCGTTGGTGTACCTGGCCTCTGCCTTCTGCAAATTCAAGGTTGTGTTGCATAATTTGTTCTGGCTCTTGAGTGCAGGTGAGCATCTCTCCTCCAAAACCTGGGTTGGGCTGTAGCAAAAATCAAAATAGATTTTATTATATTTTATGGAATCTTAACGTTGTATTGTTGAGCCCAATATTATCTATGCTGACAGAAAAGCAGGAATATAAAGTGAGTGAGTGAGAATGAATGAGGGCTAGAAGGTGGGATATACAGTAAATGGCAGAGATTATCTTATCCAAATCATTTCTTTAAAAAAAATGATAGAGTAACACAGTTAGAAGGGACCTTGGAGGTCTTCTAGTCTCATCCCCTGCTCAACCAGAAAGCCCTACAATGTCTCAGTCAAATGATTGTCCAATCTCTTCTTAAAAGTCTCCAGTGTTGGTGCACCCACAATTTCTGAAGGCAAGACATTCTGCTGGTTAATTCTTCTCACAGTCAGGACATTTCTCCTTAGTTCTAGGTTGGTTCTGTCGTTGATTATTTTCCATCCATTGCTAGCTAAGATTAGGTTGCAATCCTCCCTTGCTGTGAAGATGAAAGAAGGGAGGGCAAAAGACAGGCACACATTTGTGTATTAAATCTGTACCTTGGCATTGGACCTCTCTATTTCATGAAGCATGATTTCCCTCCCTCCCCCTCTCTCTCTGTCTCTCTTTTCCTCCTATTCCTGCAAAAACTTTTAGTTCAAAGGAAGCTGTTTTACCTTGACATATTTTGGTTGATTCCCTTGTGATGATGACGAAAATGGTGATGATGACAACATTGTCAGTAATGATGCATTTGGGCCAGTGCTGTTGCTGTACTGGAACATTTCTTCCCTGAGTGATTTTTGCAAGATCGGGTGCTTGGATTAATGATAGTCCTTGATCTCTACGGATGAGGTTGAGCCTTTTGGTTATTGGGTTGAATCCAGTGGAGTTTGCTTCTCCTGAAACAATTCGTTCCACATCCCACGTCATCCTCACAATCACGAAGAACATTTTTTTTCCTTGAAACATCATCTCTAGAGGTTAAGAGGAGGGGAAGGAGAAAGAAAACCCCATTCTGTGGTCCCCCTTTTCATTCATGGAACCCAAATATTGATTTTAACAGCTGTTAATTGCCTTTGACTTTCCTTTTAGCAGAAAAGCTGGGTATCAATGTGTTTAAATTATAAATGTCTACTGATTCCATCCCTTTCTTTCAAGGATCTCATTAACATACTTGGCTAGTGGCCTACAGCAGTTTTCCCTAGTCTGGGACTCTGCAGATATGTTGTGACTTTTGGTTTCAAGCATCTGGCTGGAGAAAGCTGGGCCATGATGGAGAAAGTAATTTGCAGCCTCCAAATCTTTTTATGAAGGTTCAATAGTTGCACCTTTCCAAAAGTTCAATATCCTACAGTGTTTCCAAAGAACAGGGGCACTGCTATCCTATGTTTGCCAAGCATATATTTAAAAAAGGTTTCACATAATCACAGAATAAACCTGGGGGTGGAGGGAGACAGTTCCTACATACAAATTGTGACACTGTCTTGGCCAGATTATCCAACCCAAGTTTGCTCATTGCAGACCTCTCCTCTGGCAGCAAATAAATGTTAAGAGGTCCATCCTGGTTATTTGTCTGGGTTGGACAGCCTTTTGCAGCTGAGAACCACAGTGGCTGGAGTGATGACCTACGTAGGCATGGTCAAGATTTTATTTTTCATAATTCCAGGTTTGTGGAGTCTTGACACTTTTAAAAAAACTATTTTGAGCCTAGTTTGGTGGTTACTCCACAGTTCTTACTTGTTTCTTGGCTTACAATGGCAAAAACTACACTATGTATCTTATTTTTTATCTACTTTGATCAGGGGTGACTTGAGGAAGGAACACAAGTCTTCGACTCCTGGTAGATAGGAAGGCAGATAATTGGTTCATCAAACCATGCCCATTATCCTGTATCTGGGCCATTTCAGGTCTGTTCTTCGGCCCTGCTCAACATCATAAGAAAATATTTTCCTGGGGGAAACTGTATAGCACCAGCTGGTATTGCAATGTTTTGGTTTTTTTTAGTGAAATCTGAATTGCTTTCAGGCAAACTCCCCTCCTGTTTTTTTTCCTGCTCAGGTGCAAGATATCAAATTCCAGGCATCAACCACAGAAGAAAAGGAATTGTGGATGAAAGCGCTCAACGATGGTATCAGCCGAGGAAAGAATAAGATATTTGATGAGGTCAGTTGCCGTTCTTAGCTTCAGGTTGTTCTTAATGTCACTGTAAGTTTGTGTGTCAATTAAGACTCAATCATCCAGGCCAAAGGTGTGATGACCTGGGGTGTGGCACAAAGGCAACACACTCAGATAATCAGTAGGAGTCCCTTTATTAACTCCAACTTTGCCCCCAATGTCTTGGTTACCTTCTGGTTGGAGAAAAACTCTCCCAGGAACAGCTTTTGGCTGCAGAGAATCAAGTCCAAAATGTGGTCAACAAAAACTGTAACTATAAGTCCAATCAAGGCAAGGTGAGGTAATTAGTTTGGCAGGGCAGGAGCAAGAATTCCAGACGTGAAGGCACAGCAAAACTCAACATGCTTGGAAAAATGCCAGGAACACAGATAAGCAAAGTCAACACAAGATAAACTCTTGTTTGTTCCCAGAAGATGCCGCAGTCAGCATGCGTCTCTTTTAAACTCTCTTTCCAAGTGTGGCTAATGAAGGGAATCAGGGCCCTTTCCTCCCCTGTAAGCCATGCAACCCATGTTGCTCTCTTCTCCATTCCTCCTTGTGTGCCCTCGGATGAAGAGTGGGTAGGCCTGGGTCTTCCTCTGAACTCCCTCTCCCTTGTTCTCCCTCTCCCCTGCTTTGCCCAGCCGGTCTTTGCCCTTTCCCAGTTTCCTCCACAGCCAACAGAGCCACATTCCCACTCCCTGTCAGCTGTTCGTCTTCCTCCTTGGATTCAGACTCTGACAGGGGCATGACACAAAGTGTCTAAAGGTTGAATCATGGCAACTGGGCCAAACTTTGTTAATCTGAGACATTTGGTTGCTCATCCAAGCAACGGTCATCAGTCAGAATAAAAATTAGATAGGCAGAGAATCAGAGAGTCATCAGAATTTACCAACTCTAGCCATACCAACTTCAAGGGTTTCTCCCCAAAAAGAGTTCCAATATGTTTTTGCTCTGAAGGGTGAAGTTGCTTGGACGTGCAACAGAACGTCTGTAGTAAGTTGTTATACTGGCTTCTTCCATTTCCCATTCATTATACAGTATAAGCCCAGGATGGGGAAAGCATATTGACCCGTGGGAATCAAGAAAGTTGTAGAAAGACGTGATGGTAGATGCTTCAGCACTGAGGATGTTATCTAGTTGGGTAATGAAATGTCTGTAAAGAAACAACCAAGTTGAGAGAGCACCAAGGACCCTCCAGTACATTGCTTCAAAACCTGGTATATTTCCAGAAAGCAGTCAGGTTTTTCTTTTTGTTTAAATGTTTGAAAATCAACAGCACCGACCCTTGGAGGATCTGCATATATAGAAACAGGAGGAGGAGCCTGGAGGCTGAAGCCGCCAGGTCCTAATTTATTGACCTGGGGGTGGAAAGAGACAGAGACTAAAGATCAGCGAAAATAAGTGAGAGCTAAAAAAAGAGAAACATTGGTGACTGTAAAAGAGATCCACGGGTGAGGCATATAGGGGACCTGAAATGAAATTGTGGTTCTGTGGCTTTTCAGACTTCCTGGCTTCAGGGAACTACCTTATTGCATTGAGTTGCTGCAAACCGTGCTGTGTATCTGCTGCAGAACCTAAAAACATGTTACAGAGGACTTGATATGAAAGTGTAGAGGGTTTCTACAGCAGTCTGCTCCATCTTGGTGCCCATCAGATGTTCTGCACTTCAGGCCTTGAAGTTCGGGGCAGGCTGAAATCCAAGGCATCTGAAGAGCATTAGCACTTATATACCACTTCACAGTGCTTTACAGCCCTTTCTAAGCCATCTACAGAGTCAGCCTCTTGCCCCCAACAATCCGGGTTTTCATTTTACCCATCTTGGAAGGATGGAAGGCTGAGCCAACCTTGAGCCTGGTGAGATTCGAATGACCAAATTGCCGGCAGCCGGCAGTCAGCAGAAGTAGCCTGCAGTACTGTGTTTTAACCACTGCACCACCATGGCTCAAAATCAGTATAGGAAAAGGGAAGGACATTATCAAGGATGGTGGAAGTGACAGAGATCTGATAGGCAATCTGGACACGGGTGTCTTGCAGACCCCTGGCTTTTCTAGATCAATCCTATCCAGACTCTGAAGAATCAAAAAAAAATTTTCATTCATAAATGTTCTTTAAGTTCTGGCTAGCACCACATGCATCCCCTGGAGGCTCTCTGCAACTGCTAAAAATAATCACTGCGGTTTCTCACAATTTTAACCCAAGCAACACTGAAGACTGTAGAGTCTGCTCTAGAATCCAGGTACAGTAGTCCTCGATGTACGACCGTTCATTTGGTGACCATTTGAAGTTACAACAGCACTGCAGAAAGCGACCATTTTTCCACACTTAACGACCATTGGCAGCATCCCCACAGTCACGTGATCAAAATCCAGGACGCTTGGCCACTGACTTGTCTTTATGAACGGTTGCAGTATCCTGGGGTCAAGCTATTCCCCCTTTTGCGACCTTCTGACAAGCGAAGTCAATGGGGAAGCCGGATTCCACTCAACAACCATGCAACTAGCTTCACAACTGCAAGCGATTCGCTTAATGAGTGTGGCAAGAAAGTGTTCTAACCAAGGCTTCCTGAGACCATAATTAAGCACATCCTTAGTTAAAACAACTCTTGTTTTATTTCAACGCAGGGAATTATGTTCATTCCCAGCCTGTAATGAGTCCCAAACAGTCCCTCGAGATAAGCACCCACCTTTCTCTCCTTTGAATTGCTGCCAACAACTAAAGTGCCAAATTAACTGTAAAAAACCAACCGAAGTACAAAGTCCACACAGAGCTTCAAGGATTAATCTGAACAGAGCGAATGACTTTGCTTCCTGCAAAGGTTTCTCTACCTTTGCCTGTCCTTTATACCTTAGGGGAGGGGCAATCACCTCCAAGCCTCAATCCTGAGTCGCCCCTTTTGTCTCAGCTGCTCTTGCCTTCTAGCAGCTCTGCGCACATTCGCACTGGGAAAAGGCTCCCCTTGTTCCTCTGCCTCGCTGCTGCCAGACTCCAGAGGCTCCGGAGTCAGCACTCCACTCCCAGATGGTCCTGGCCCCATCTCTGAATCGGATGCAGGACCCTCATCCAAATCCTCTCCTGACTCCGGGACTGGTCCCTGTTCTCCCCCACTGTCTGATTCCACTGCCGTCTGCACAGGCTGCCGGCGAACCACAACAGAAAGGTTGTAAAATGAGGCAAAGCTGTCTTAATAAATGTCTCACTTAGTGACAGAAATGCGGGGCTCCATTTTGGTTGTAAGTTGAGGATTACTTGTAGCCTGAAACATTGCACGAGAAACGTTTCCTTAACCCACCTCCTCAAAAGCAGAAGATCTAAAAAACTTGGCAACTTTAAGACATGGATTTCAACTCCCAGAATTCTCCAGCCAGCTATGCTTCTTAAAGTTGCCAAGTTTGGAGAACTCTGAACTAGAACATCCAGGCCCCAACCCAGAAGAGATGTCCTTCCATCCATTGCAGTGTTTGCCTCCTGATTAAGTAGACTCGGCTTCTCTTAGCTGAAAACCAGCCATCACATTAAGCGAGTAGAGTTGTGTTTTGCATGTTTGGGGTATCCAAGGGAGATGGTTTATTTTGGCCAGAGGAGCATTGATTTTGATTGGTTCTCCATGGCCCAGGCTACAAATGATTTTGGCAAAGGAACGTCAACTCTGAATGAACTTTCTGCTTGCTTCCCCTTCCCTCTCTCCCTTCCTTGTCTTCTTTCTCCTTTTCGGCCTCGCCATTTAAACCCAAAGATGTCTGAAAGTCTTTCAGACATCCTGCAAGGAATATAAATCCTTCCATTCCCCACCATCCTATCGGAGCTGTACAAGCTTCTTGGATGAGAAGCGAAACGTCTTCAGGGATAAAAAACAAGGAAATTCAGTTGCCTCCTGAGATGCCAAGGATGTCTGAGCAAAGCATTCTGGGGCCTTCTTTACCCTCCTGAAACGGGAACTGTCGCTCATCAGACTGACCTGAGTTGGGTACCTGCTTGCTCTCCCGTTTTTTGATAAGCTCTGCGAGAAGGTTGCTTGTTCTACCTCCTTCCAGAAGAACTGGATTGTCATTGAGTGTCACATTATGGAAAGGTTGCTGTCTTTCACATTGAGCTCTGCAGGCAGTGCGCCAATTGTACATGCGGGTTGCGGGGGGGGGGGGGCAGACGGGAACAGCAAACTAATTGCATTTGCCTTGCAAATCTAAGCTGGAGAGAAGAGGAAGGCAGAATTTGAGCCATTCGTGCTCTCCTGTTACGCGGGAAGGAGACATTGGAAGAGTGGTGTCATTGGGTGATCTTGGCAGCCTTAAGAGGACTCTGTGAACTAAGGTAGAGCCAGGGGATTTTGGAGTTGAGGGTGCCCTGACTTACCCCATTACAGGTAGTCCTCAATGTATGATCACAATTGAGCCCAACATTTCTTGGGCTCTGCTCTTCGTTGCCATTAGAGTTGCTTCGTGCCCAATGTGTTTGCTTCCATCACGTACAAGGAAGGAAAGAAGCACATTTCTTTGTGAATCCAACAACAGAGAATCATGGTACAACATGGAAAAGGTAAAGGTAAAGGTTCCCCTCGCACATATGTGCTAGTCGTTTCCGGCTCTAGGGGGCGGTGCTCATCTCCATTGCAAAGCTGAAGAGCCAGCGCTGTCCAAAGACATCTCCGTGGTCATGTGGCCGGCAAGACTAAACACCAATGGCGCACCTAACGCTGTTACCTTCCCACCAAAGTGGTCCTTATTTTTCTACTTGCATTTTTACATGCTTTCGAACTGCTAGGTTGGCAGGAGCTGGGACAAGTAACAGGAGCTCACTCCATTACGCGGTGCTAGGGATTCGAACTGCCGAACTGTTGACCTTTCTGATCAACAAGCTCAATGTCTTAGCCACTGAGCCACCTCATCCTTTACAACATGGAAGCAGATGCTTATATTCAGTCTTGCTGTTCGGTATCATTGATGTCGATAGTATTTGCATCACACATTTACGCAGCCCAATTAAAATCCAAGCGGTCATGTGCGCAGAATATGCCAAAGCTCAATTGGGTATTTCAGGGGAAGAACGTGTTGTATGAATCCAGTTCGTTTCGTTGGTTAATGGTTCAGAGATTGAGCCAAGTCTTATAACTTTGGGACAATAATCCTCCTTTCGCAATATATTTCCAATTGTAGTACCGGTATGTACTTTCTGGATTACTTTGTTAATCACCAGCAGATTTGAGTTCAAGAATACAAAAATTGATTGACAGATTTGTCTGTTTCATTTAGTCATTCCTTAGTGAAAATACAATCATAGTGGCCTGTAAACCAAGGTTTATGGATTGGCAAAATAAATTAAAAGAATCATATCTGGCCTGTTTTGATTAATAAACCACAATTATTGGGCTATATGTAATAAACCACAGTGGATGAGCTTTCACATTATATGAAGCCAAAAACATGCTAGGATTTGTTGTACACAGATTAAAGGAATGATTCAACCTCTTGTATACTTTTTGGCTTTGGAAGGCTGAACTGTAAAATGCTTGCTTTGTGTCATTTATGGAATTAAAAGAAGAGTGAACTAAGGACTGACACGATAGCAATCTTTCAATAATTGAGGGGCTGTCACAGAGAAGAGGGGTCAACCTCTTCTCCTAAGCACCTGAAAGCAGGACAAGAAGTAATGAATGGAAGACTGTCAAAGAGAGATCCAATTAACAATTAAGGAGAAATTTCCTGACAGTAGGAACAATTAATCAGTGCAACAGCTTGCCTCCAGAAGTTGTGGGTGTTCGCTCCATCACTGGAGGTTTTTAAGAAGAGATTAGATAACTATTTGTCTAAAAGGGTATATAGGGCCTCCTGCTTGGTCAGGGAGTTGGGCTAGAAGACCTCTTAGATCCCTTCCAACTGTTATCCTGTATTCTGATCAGCCTTTTTCTATTTTCTCTCCAACTTAAAGGTAAAAATTGATGAGAACCTTTCTCTGGATCATGTAACTCGAGGCAGAGCCAAGATAGCCAAGGGCCGTCGTCCACCCACCAGAAGCCATTTGAAAGAGGTAATAATTGGGGTTACCACCAACCAGCGTGGCTTTTATGTTACTTAATCAGAATACACCTTTTATCATTTATTCAGCAACATCGCTATCTATTTTTGTCCTCTTTATGTATTTCTCATCACGGGAGGGAAGGGTCACACTTTACCCACCCCCAGCTAATTTTGATCTTTATGACAGGTAATGATTATTTGAAATAACCCCGCCTGCATCTGGACATGTCCATGACTTATTTCAGTTGAGGTTGCATCCTAAATATAAATAATTTGGTCTAGTTTACTCACATTGGTATTTCTTAGCTGCATTTTTTTAAGCAAAGCTTCTTGTCTTAAAAGCCATAATCCTTAACCATCCTGAAGAAAATCATGATTAAATATTAAAATGCAGAACAAACGGTAGGCTGGGAAGAGAAAATTCAATATTAAACCCAGAACGAGGAGAAGGCTGAGACAAGATCATTACAAACTGGTTCCTCACTAACAAGAGGAACTGAATGAACTTCTTAGCCTTGGAGAAGAGTTCCATAGTGTAGGTAAAGCTACAGAAAACTCCCGGTATTGGGTCATCATCATTTAGTAAACCAAACAAGATTTTTTTTTATAAATATAGTTTATTAATTTTTACAATTAAAACCAGTAAACCAAACAAGATTAATATCCCTAATATTTGGGGAGACTTTTATTGGAATAGGTGTCTCTGGACATATTAGACAGACATAGTCAGACAGAAAGACAGAGAGATGGATGGTTGGATGGATGGATGGATAGAGGCAGAGAAAAAGAGAGGAAAGAGAGGGACAGATAATGGATAGATGATAGATAGATCATTACAATCTTTATGAACTGTTGCCTCCTGGCAGAAGATACAGAACAATTAAAACGGACCACACATTTTCGGAATAGTTTTTATCCCAGAGCTATAATTGCACTTAACAATGAACTTAAGGACCATCATCAGTGAGCTATTGGACAGTATTACTTGATCTGTTGTGTGGATACTTGTGTGTTTTTAGGAGGCAGGGGGGAATTTTGGTGGGTGGGGAGGTGTTTGGGGATTGTTATGTGTGTGTGCATGTTGAGTCTGGTCTCTGGATGTGTGAATTTCATTGTATGTATACTGTGTATATACATACAATGACAACAAAGAATTCAGTTCAGATAGATAGATAGATAGATAGATAGATAGATAGATAGAGAGAAGAGAAAGACCAGAAAAGAGATGCCCAGATTCAGTCTAGGCCTAGAACTATCTAGTTTTTTTTTAATAAATAAATTTTATTGATTTTACAATTAAAACATACCGACAACACATACACAAATGAAAAAAAGAGAAAAAAGGGAGAAGAAAATAGAAAGAAAAAATAGAAAACAATTAAAAACATTCTCATCTTCAACAGTTTGTAAGACCTCTTTTTTATTATTATTATTATCCTTAATTTATGCCATATACACACACCTAATCCTTACATATATCTGTGTATCACTACTATGGATTTATCCTATCCTCTTTTGCCTTATAGTGTAAAGTCTATCTTTGGTCTATCCATTTGTACCAGCAGTTCCAGCTGTTGTACTATAGCCTGGAGTAGGAATGTAAGACGTAGCATCACCCTAACAGAATGGGAAAAGGTCTGGGGTAGAAATAATAACATTACAAAATCGGTAGCATATAAAGAAAATGCCTATAAAATGTTTTATAGATGGCACCTTGCTCCTTCGAGATTAGCGAAGATGCACCCCAATATGAGTCCGAATTGCTGGAAATGCAAAAAAAAAGAGGGAACTTTTTTCCATATGTGGTGGTCCTATACAGAAGCTCAAAAATATTGGCAGAAAATTAGAAATTGGCTGGAAGAAATGACAAGAGAACAGATTGAATACAAACCAGAGTCCTTTTTGTTAGGGATCTTTGATAAACAAATATAAAAAAAAGCGAAATACACAATAATACACATTTTGACAGCGGCCAGATTAGCTTTTGCCCAATGTTGGAAGCAGCCTCATGTTCCATCAGAGGAGATGATCATTCAAAAAATTTCAAGTTGTGCAGAAATGGACAAATTAACTTTGGCATTAAAAAATAAAGAACTATCATCGGTAAGAAACAAAGCTAACATTCTGACAAGTGTTTCCAGGAACATGTGATCATATTTGGACCACAAAACTCGGATGACCCTCAGCAGGCAGCAAAGAGCAAGAAGTCACTGCTATTTGATAGTCGTCTGGATTTGTTTCACCCATAACTTAGATATGGTAGCCTAGGGAAAGGATATAGATAGGTTTCTGCTCCTTTGATTCCATGGATGAGTCTTCCGTGGGGATTTTTGCTTGAGCGGCCGTGAATGTAAGAGAATCTCTTGCGTTGACAAAATGTAATCCTTAAAAAAATGAATGATGGTCATTCTGAAATTGCAGGACCTGTAGGGTGTGAAGCTGTTTTAAGTTGTTATTGTGTGGTCAGCAGCTTAAATTCTTTGAAAGTTATGGACTTGAGCACTGATTCTGAGATCTCTCTCGTTTGCTTCCCTACTTAGGTGGCTAGTTCAACGTCAGATGGGATCCTGAGACTTGATTTAGATGTATCAGATGGTGGACCTCTACATAGCATCCTAGTGACCAGTGAAACTGCTGAAACCCCTCCTCCAAAGGAGACCCATAAGCCTCCAATGCCCCCTGCAAAAGGGCCCGTGCTTCCAACGGAGAACCTAAGTGCCAATCTTGCCCCAGAAGATCCACAGGTCAAGAAGCCACCAATGCCTCCAGCTAAGTCTCTTAAGGAAGTAGCAGCACCCAGTGAAAATGTGAACTCTCTAGAAGTAAGTGATGCAGAAGAGGAGGCATGTGAAGACTCTGAAGGGACCCCAGTCGAAGGAGATTGGGTGGAACCCAGACCTCCAGTACCACCTCCAAAGATTTTATCCGACAAAATGAAGGTGGGATGGGACCATCCGGGTTCCGAACTTCATGACGTTGAAACGGAGAATGCCCCTGGATTAAACAAGGAAGCAGTCAAGCCACCGACTCCTCCTCCTAAGGTTTTTAGAGGCAAGCTGATCTCCAAGGAGAACGATGCACAGGTAGACATTTCTGAAGGGGATTGGCAGCCTGACGGGGACTCGAACCTTGATGTCAACGGCATGGATGACAACGGAACAACTCAACCTGCTTTCCAAAACGGGAAGGAGCAGGATGACCATTCCTCGGAGCCAGGAGGAAAGGAAGAGGGTTTGAGCCTGCCTTCAGAAGACCAGGTTGACGTAGTGGAGCCTGCGGGAGGTTCTCCAGCAACCAAGCCTCGCAGCTCCTCTCTAGGGGCCTTGCTTTCAGAATCGCCCCCAAAGCTTCCTCGGCCAGATTCCCAGAAGTTGTCTATCCTCCACATGGGGGAGAAAATCGCTCACGAAAAGCAACGAACTGAAAAGCTCCTGTGGAAGGTTCGAGGTGAAGAGCTGGAACAAGGCCAGGAAGGCAAGGGACCCTTGGGAGACGCCAAGGAGCTGCTCGATGAAGCCACCGAGCAACTCCGGCAAGCCACCCAGGTCTTGCAAGAGGTCAAAGATTTAGGGGAACTGAGAAGGGAACCTACTGGGTTGCGGAAAGGTGCCTCGAAGGACCTAGTGACTATTTATAGGAGAAGTGCTCCTTAAGAAGGAATTGAATTCTGAATCGTGATTTAGATGAAAAGTAGCCGGGCAGCAGCACCATTTCTACTGGGCTACCAGACCAGTGTTTTAAAGATAGATGGATAGGGCAGCAGCTGAGTCTTATTAAGTATTGCTTATTTTCACACTGCCCCTTTTGTAATCTCAGAAGGTGGGCTGGATCCTGCTGGGTGGGGTGTGCTAGAGAGGGATCCCCGGGTAGAGGACCCCAGGGAAAGGTCTGTTGTTGGAAGACAAGCAGTAACTGGAAGCCGTAGGGACTTCCTACCAGGGGTGCCTAAAACATTTCAAGTGCAGAAGGGTTTCGAGTTTGCAACAAGCGTTCATGAAGCCTTTCCAGTTTGGTGGAGGCCTCTTGCAAGTTCAGAACGGGAGCTTTTGTGGTTCAGGTGGTGCCCTTTTGAGCTATAGGAGCACATCAAGTTGGAGCAGGGATGTTGAATTTCCCATGCAGGCTGGAATATTTCGGGTTAGAAAAGTTTTGCACAGTCCTCGTTTCTGTTCTTCTGCTTCGTTCTCTCTCTCCTCTGCTCTACTCTCCTTCTCCCCCTCTCTCTCCTCTCCTCTCTCCCCTTTCCCTCTCCTCTCTCCTTCTCCCTCTCCTCTCTTCCTCGCCTCTCTTCCCCGTCTCCCTTTCCCTCCCTTCTCTCCCTCCCCTCTCTCCCCTCTCCCTTCTTCCTCTCCGTCTCCTCTCCCATCTCCCTTCCCTCTCCCTCCCTCCCTCTCTTTCTCTCACGAGTTTGAAGAGACTGCCGAGATCAGCTGCACGATGGGTATGGAATGAGGCTGCAATCCTTTCTAATCCTTTATGTTTTAACTCAGGGTTTAATGTAGTGGGGCACATGGGAGGCGGGGCTGAAGCAAACAGTGGGCGGGCTCTTCTTCAATATCCTTTCTCCCCCCACCCCCTTTGTGATGCTCCCTTTTTCTTCCTGACTCTCCTTTTCCTTGAATGGCTCTGCTGCAGAAAGCTTTCCACAGGTCCTGTTCCAACTTTCATTTATTTGTCCCAAGCCACGTGTCCTTGAAAGTGGTGACACTTAGTGCGTCCCGCAGTTAAAAACAAGCCCGCTTACCCCCAAGATAGCCAGTGATGTTTTGGTAAGGCTCTCAATATGTAGGATTTGCCAACGATGGCTGATTTCTTCTCTGGATGTTTAAGTCTGTCCTGCCAGGGATCAAACTTGTACATCACTCACTCGCTTGGGGTCGGCTTAGCATGTTGTGTGTTGCTCACCTCTGGCGGCCGATTGAACAAACGATGGTTATGCAAAGTGTGCCTTACTACAGCACGGGAACCTGATCAAAGTTCAGCAAGTCATAGGGAACCAGGAGTCCAGTAAGACCTCAAATTCCACCACCCCCCAGGCTGACTTTCCATTGACTTGTGAAGAATAGACACATCATATATTAGAGAGACTTTGGATAAATCTATCACAAGTCCTGTTCATGCAAAATATCCCAGCTCATTTGAATGGGAAAAAAATAGAAACCCAGCTGGACTCAGATTTCGTATAAACACAGTGGAGAGCATGAAGGATTCCCCCCCCCATTATGCAGTGGTGCTTGCCTTAGCAACAACATCAACTTTGGGAAAATTATTTTGCAATTGTAGGGAAGGTATGTATATGTGTTCCCATATTTCCTTTGGTTTTGGTTGAACGCTGCTTCTAAACGGGCTGATAGCTGAATGCACCAGGCAGACCAAGGGCCAATGCATGGTTATCAGCAGAATAGACCGTGAGGCTTAGGATGAGGTATGAATTCTGTCGTAAGCACAATCTCCCTCCACAGATTACTGTAACTTTTTTTTTTACTGGTGCCACTCATAAGCTTTCTTTCCAAGATCCTCGTTTTCACTTGAGTTGATGGCTTTTTTTACTCTGGAGACGACTGTATTTTTTACAACCTGGAAAATCAGTTTACAGCTAATATTTTCCTATCCTTCAGATGTCATTTAAAAAAAGAAAAAAAAAGGACAAGCATAAAATCGGTACCCAATGATTAAATAAGCAGCTAAGGAAGAAACATTTGCGAATCCAGGCAGGATGGAAATAATGGCACTTAGTGCGTTGTGCTCTAGGTTGATTTCCTGAAGACGGGGTCCTTGGAGACCTGGCTGAAGTCATCGCATGACTCTTCCTGCAAAGCAAAAGCAAAAGGAAGAAGATGAGTAAGAAGGACACCAGTTTTCTTCCTTTTATCTAAGGCGGTGCAATTAGGATTGTGTCGTCCAACTACATCTGGGAGCCAGTTCACATTGGTCTGGTTCGCACATTGCATGCAAGGGTTGGTTTGCCTTGGCCTGCTCTGTTAACCCAGCCAATTGTGGTTTATTCAACAAGCCATGGTTTATTGCCATTTGGAAGCCTAACCCCTGGGATGTGTAAACCATTGCTTATGGCAGACAAATACAAATTTTGAGGCTAGGAGCCATGCCCTAAAATATGGATAGAGTCAGGACAAAAATGGTTTGGGAATAGAAGAAATGTTCATATCAAACTGCATACAGTCAGTGGGACTGCTCACTCTGTATTTAACATTTATTTCCTTTTCTCCTGTTAAGAATGAAAAGTTGGCGATTTTTGGAGAAGCCCTAGGAATGTCCTCGAGGCCCTTTAAGTGGTGCCCATTGGACTTTCTTGATTCATGGCCTGGCATTAGGCCAGCTGCCTATGGTTTGCTTAGCAAACCCCAATTGAGCAAACGGCAGCTTAATATGATGGCATCAAATCCAATGTGTGCCCTCCTTTTTTTAAATTGCGGCAAGAGAGGAAGCTCCACATGTAGAACGATTCGGGACAAGTCAAAGACAGCATTGTCCGGCATCATCTTAAAATAATATTTTTTCTGCAAAATCAGTCGTTTGCACAGCTGAACTCAATTAATCTCCGTGCTTAAGAGCCATTATGTTCTCTCACAATCTCTGCCACCGAGCTATTGGAAGCCATGACTTCTGTCAGTCGCTCCCAGTTTTTCCTCCCTGGGGTTTGTGCTCTGCGTTCTGTCTCACTGTCCTTTCTTGCTCTTAAAACCATGGTTTGCGTGCATCTGAAATCCTGGCTTCAGGTCTCTTCTGAGCATCTGGGACCACGGAGCAGTAACAGGGTAATAATTGGGTGGCCTTCAACGTCACTGGTGTATTTGCAGGCAGCGCTGCCCATATAAACTTCCTAACAGACACTGGTGGAGAAGTTCCATGGGCAACTTAAAAATATTCGGCCCTGCTGCTGGATAAACACTTGATTCCAGGCCTACTTAACCAAAACAGAGCTCCTTAGGTGGGCTTCTGCAAGAACAGCTTCAAAACCCCCCTGCCCTTTCTGGTTTGAATAGTTGCTGGACGATCTCAGAACAAAAGGCCCATTTCTCTTTAAAAAATGAAGTTGATTGTGTCTACATTCATAGCTGCTTGTCCTTGTCCTTTTTCACAATGGGTTCAGCCAGCTGGGAGTTTTTGTTTATGCAAGCGACCATGCCATGCTTTGTGTTTTTTTCAAATAAAGGGGCTAAACTGGAGTCCTTTCTCTTTAAAAAAAAAATGGATGTAATTGTTTTGCACTAGCTGTTTACGACACGGAAATACAAAAATAGCTATTTTGCTTAGAGCTATCTCACAGATTTTCTTTTTTTAGATCATCCCTGCAACGGCTTGTGCGTTGGCTGCCAAAAAAATCTACAACTAGGAACGTAACAAACATGTTTGCAAAAGAAAAAGGACCACAGAACTTAATTTACCCATTCCTACTTACTCACTGAAGACTGCAGTCCTGTGGTGGCATTTTTTCCCACCTCTGTGTACTGAGGTATCGTCAGTACTAAAATCAGGGAACATTGGTCTTGCCATAAGACAGTACTTTCCCCTCCAATACTTTGTACATTCAATCAGTGTGAAGGGTAGATGTTCTTCGTACCAAAACTAGATTGACTCAGCAGAAAGCTAGCTTTGCTTGCAGCTATCCAAGCACCTTGGAGCTGCAGAGCCAAATTTGCTGCTATGAAATACGTGAATTGGCTGTATTTATCTAGGAAAGCACTGAAGGAAATACTCGGAAGGAACCCTGTTAGGGTAGACCAACGTTTCTCAACCTTGGGATATCCGGATTTCAACTCCCAGAGTTCCCCAGCTAGCATGGGAGAATTCTGAGAGTTGAAGTCTGCGCATCTTAACAGTTGACAAGATTGAGAAATGACTAGGGTAGAGACAATCTAGGTTCCTCCATAGATTGCCAGGCTTCAGATTCTGCCCTCCCTGGCCAGTCGAGCCAGTGGTCAAGCATTATTGGAGTTGTAATCCAGCAGTAACTGTAGATCTGTAAGCTTATTCATCTATTGCGCATATATTTAATGAACACTGAACATTGATACATTTTCTCAAAAGTGCTTCTCTTCAAAATCATTACCAGAATGTTGCTGTTGAGTCTACATTCCCCTTCAAATCTGAGCAGAATATTGTACAGTCTCTACTAACAGTATTTTGAATCTTTTTTTCTATCCTGTCTTGTAAATAACTAAACACTTCTTTGGGTGCACATTTGAGTATTTTGTTGTGAAAAAGCTTTATCCACAAAGAGGCTGTGTGTCCTTGTTTGTCTCTGAGATGGTCAGGCCTCCAGTTGAAAATTGCCAATTCTTTCAGCCCTGAAAATGTCTTAAAATACAAATATATTTTTAACAAACTGTCTCGAGCATCTCAATTCTGTGTTTTGCTTTCAAAGTCCATTTGTAAGTACCTTCCCCTTTCAAATCGCCAGGCTCCACCACTGAGAAAATCATTTTGAAAGGCGAGCGACTGTTGAGTAGTGGGACACTTTGAGGCTGTGAGTTTACGAGGATGCTTTCGATACAAGGATGATCTAGGACAGTAGTGGGGTTAGTGTTTTAGTTCAGTTCCAGCCTCCTGAAGAGGACTGGATGGGAGAGTTAAGATAAGCTTAGATAAGCTAAGAAGGTGGCAGATGGACGGAACATTTAGAAAAATAACACACACTTGCCTACAGGGGGACTCTTGTAGGTTCACAGGATGGCTTTCACATCCAAGCTGAACACCATTCACTAGCCTTCTCCAACCAGAAATGTCAGATATGCTGGAGAACAACAATTGACAGCATAATTGTCAGGCACCAACTTTGATGTGGGTTATACCTAGCTAGGAAATCCAATACAGTACGAGGCCACTTAATTGTTCATATTTTATGGAGCAGAAAACAACTTCAGTCAAAGTTAAATCACCGCATACAGTTCTTTGCCATGTCATAAGAGTTGGGAGATCTTCCAAGGTGAGGAAGGCACAGGTACCTGCAGTGGAATCTATGCTACCTGTTCAGGCAAAATGCTGGTATCCAAGTTTACATAAAAGTTGAATCCAGGGCACAGGATTGAATTGCCTTCATCTTAAACGGCAATCCACCTGGCTTGTTATCTTTAAGGCTGTTCTCCTGTATAGTGTATTCAAACTGCCTTCTGAAATGGATTTTTCCAATCCAGCAAAAGCCAGTTGAGATCAAGGGATGCCAATAAACCTCATCCGGTGAAATTGAATGGGCATTTAAATATCTAGATGTGAC